TGTCTTTTTTTTAGTTGTTGTTTACTGTTTTTTTTTTTATGTGATACATTTTTTCATTTTAATGATGAAATTTGAAACTTTATATCGGTGGTTAAAAAAGATTTTTTGTTTTTGTGAAGTAGTTTGATTTTTTTATATAAAAAACCTATAAAATTAACATTTTTCTAAGCTGACCCTGGATCAAATGTTAATAAATGATAGCATTATATAAGCCAAAATAAAATTAATATAATCAGCATTTTATGCGTTTTAATAGATTTTGATCAAATTATCTTTTCTAGTTATTTTTCTTGTTTTCACTTCAGATTTAAACCTGCAAAACCTGGCAATATCTTAATATGCATCAACCTGATTTTAAGCTGTTTCAAATTCGGAGTATAAAAATAAATAACCAATGAACTTTTAATGCCATGAACTTATAAATTATATTATTTTTTTTGTTTTTTTATATATTTGTTCTATTTTCACTATTTCATGATAGATGTAATTATAAAATTAAATAACCATTACCAAACCGGTGCTAATATAGTGATTAAGCGATGTGCTAAAATAACCATTACCAAACCAGTGCTAATATAGTGATTAAGCGATGGCCTCGTAATCCTTGCAATCACGCTCCTTTTAGTACTCAACTTGTTATTCAATGCAGCAGTCTTGTTTGTCAAAGTTAGTTCTTCAAAGTTACAGAGTTGAGACATGGTTGTAATCAAGATCTTAAAAAATGATTTTTGATATAAATACTATAAAAATATCATTTGAATAAAAAATAGCATCTGCGAAATTTATATCATTATATGCAAAAGGGTATTGACTGGGAGTACAAGATAATGTTTCCCACCAAATGAGCAATATCTCACCATATTTGGTTTACATATTAATATACCTAAAATTTAGGTAAACTAATAAATTTTTATTGATTAAAAATATATATTATTTTAAAATATTTAATAAAAAAAATGGTTTGATACTTTAATTCACTGGTTTTATAACCATTATTTGTGAATGATTTAAAAAAATGTTTTTAACTTTTTTTATTTTTATTAGGAAAAGCCCATGTTTATATTTCTAAATAATGAGACTTTTATTACTACTCCATATATATAAAATGCAACTTTAAAACGGAATCTTTTTTATATGTGTTAAAAAAAACTCTAATTCTAATTAATTGTATACAATATTTGTGTTGAGCTTGTAAAAAAATCATGTTTATACTATGTGTCCAGGGATACCCTTTAATTTTAAAACATGCCTTTTTCCTAATGTTTTTAAATATATGTTTTGCATATTTTTAAGGTACGTATTAACTTTTTTCTCGTTTCTAATTCAATAGATAATTCTTCACACTTTTAAAAAAGTGTTTTGCCACTCTGTTTTCTGTTAGTACGTGTGCACATTCTACTTTTTCCGGGGTACCCGACTTTCCTTTACAGTAAAAAAAACAAAATACACTAAAGTTACCCAGTAAAAACATTTGTCTTCCAGTTCTATAGTAAAAGCTAGATACAACTATGCCTTAAAAGTAAATGACTGCGCATGAAAAAAATATTTAAATAAATCAATCTTCCACCCCACTCCCTACACTGTAAACCATTCCTCTTAATCTGCGCTAACTCGAACGTATATTCACTTATTGCTACAATTACAAAAACTTATATTATGAACTTTTATTTTTATATTTACTCTCCGTAGCTATTTTTTGGTAACGTTGATAGGCTAAAGTAGAAGTTGACTTCGTCTATGTTGAATAAAACTATGCGTGAATTTAAAGTTAAAACTAATATTTTAAATCTTTAATCAAGTAAGGAAAAAAGAGTTCTCTTATTCAAATTATAAATAATAAAGAATAAACATTTATAGTTGATAAATAATTATATTTAGCATAAAAAAATATCTAATGCAACTAGACTCGTAACTATAGGAAGATACGGCCTGTCAGTAATTTTTCCATAATATAAATATAAATAATTTTGTCTACAGGCAATTCTGATGTGCAAATAAACCTGTAAATAAATTTCTAGTAACAGGGCTGAATGAAAAAAAAATAATTTACTTGAAAATTAATATCAATTAAATTTGTAACAAATAAATAAATTAAAAATAATACATAAACATATTTTTTTGTACTATTTTCTTTTTAAATTTTAAATTTTTTCTCTTGAAGTTTTTTTTTTGGAACTTTTATTTTTACCCATTTTTTCTAAGAAGCTATATATGCCCATCCTTATTTGTTTTTTTTTTTGATTAGACCATCACGAATAAAGTCTTTAACAAAATCAACTTCTTTTGTTTGTTGTAAATGATCCTTTACAACAAGCAAGCAAATATTACATCAAGGGTACTACCGCTCTCATTTAAATTATCAATACTCCAATTGAAAGCGGGAGTACTCTTGATATAAAGTTTCCTTAATCTATTTGCAACTTAGTTTAAAACATCTATATGATTGAGCGTAAAATAACAAACTTGGATCATGAACAATTTAAAAGAGTATAAAATAAAAACTACTTGTCAGAATATAACAAATGAGATCTTGTTTTTTTTTGTTAGAAAATAGGCTCTCATATAACTAAAAAATAAGAAAAAAAAAAGTTTAGTCTTGTGATTGAAATTATATTATATTGAATAGACAAAAGTGTATAACTTCTTAATTAAATCCTAAAATACTTATAGATTAATTCATAAACAGATAGTTATTATTATTAAACAAGATGGGCATTTGTAGTGGTGATCAAACAAAAAAAAAATTAAACAAACTTGATAATTTATTATTTAACTTTTTGTAAGGGCACCAACAAATCAAAATTTTCCTAAAATAAAACACCCATTTGAGTTGAGAAAACTTTTTATGTATAAGTAAACATACAAAATATCTTTTTTAGGAATAATCCAAAACTGTATGATCATCAGGGTGTAGCCCGGTTTGTGATGGACAGAAATCACAAATAAAAACAGTTTTTAAGAGTCAATTTTTGTAAGAATCAGGCAGTCAATGGAAGTGACCTCCTCCAAATTGCTTGAATTTTTTATATATTGATCAGAATATAGAGAAAACCTGTTAAGGAAAAAAAAAATTTTCAAAAATGTTTTGTTCACTCGGAATCTGGGCTTAATTTTTTGAGATTTTTTTGAAAATTTTTAGAAATTCAGTTTTTGCCACCTTTGAACCCATTTTTTTGGCAAGGCAAAAAGTTGCACATAGCTTTTGTAGTTAATATCAGACGTAGCCCAAAAGCTCTCTCCAAAAAATATAAAAAAGTTGCGTGACAATGTGCGGTTGGCTAATTATCATAGTTCAAAAGTACAAATTCAATTAGTTTTGTCAATTTTTACCTAGGCCTATTAATATATTAAGGCTTGAAATTGGAAAAAAATGTTATAGTATACTTACAAAATGAGCTATTACAGCAGAGGCGCTAAGTTTTGTAAAAATATAATCATGTTAAATGGTCAATATAAGATGACCCTAACATAGTTTTAAAAAAAACTCATATAATCTTTAGATATTAAGTTAAAAATAAAGGTACAAATTGTTAAAAATGATTAAGTACGAAGAAATACTTTTTTGGACACACAGATGAGGTTTTCGCTCACAATAAAATTTCTATCATCCAAAATTAGCAATTAGCATTACACAAAACATTGCACGTAATGTTAAGAAAAAATTTAAGCGTTTCTGACTATGATAAAGAAATCATAACAATTGAAATAAATAATAATAAAAAACAATACATGTTCAGAAGTGAATTATTTAAATTTACGTCATAACCAAATAACTTGTGGTGATCGAATGGAAGAAGAATCGCTGATATCACGATTGTGGAGAAACAATTTAGTGGGCGGTTGTTTATTTTACCATAAAAATGTCTTAACTTTATTTTAAGGATCTTTAAAATTTGCATAAATCGAGTAGATATTTCATCATTGCTATTGAGAAATAGGTACTGCATAAATAGAACTTGTTTTTAGTTGAGTATGGAACAAAACAAATATTTTTATAAAAACTGTTGTTGCTTTTCAAAAGGAAATTGTGGATCATTCAAAAAACATAAAATTATAAACAAAATGTTCTACATTCATCAGCTGGGAGATGTTGATGTTAAGAAACACCTCATCAACTTAAAGGTAATTATGTATTTTAAATTTACGCAGACTGTAATATAATTTTTATAACTACATACTTTATAACTTCTCTGCAATAAGATTTTGAGACAAAGTTCTTTAAACAAAAAAAAATAGCTCTTTTAATTAATTCCTCACTCTTTTAATAAATAATCACTAAATTAATCACACTCTTGCAATATTGTATTTTAATAATAACAACAATGTGTTTCAAACTTGTAAACATTTTTCGTGAAGAGTCAGATAATAAACAATGCTTTAAATGACACACTTAATAATTGTTTAAAAAGTTGTTTTTAGGTCATGCGATTAAACGATAATAATATTTGGGAAGAAAATGGACTTATTGCAAATAGACTTATTAGAAATCTTGAAAAGAATGAAAAAATATGTGCTTTTCACCGGTACACGTTTGGTATTGCATGGAGTTCTCCAAAAACATGCTTTCATCCTCACCGTCTAAATATAAAAGGGAAAAAATCTTGCGCTTTAAGAGCGTCACCAATACATCTCGTCATATCAATGTCAAAGCAATACAATGAAGCATTTTCAGTTTGTGCAATGCTGTGTTTTACCCATTTAAAGCAAGAAACTGCTTTATCTAGAGTCAACGAAAACACCAATTTATGTACAGAAACACAAACACAACAAGAACAAACATATATGACACCAGCTACTCCAGATGAAGAATTTGATCCCGGTGAAATTAATGTTTCACAGGAGATTTTGGACAAATCTCTAAGAAGCCGTGAGAGTGTAACTGAGGTTCTTAATGCAAGTCCAATAAAGTTTAGATTAAAAAGGAAGTGTGAATACCTGGAAGATACTACTAAAGATAAGTTAAAACGCAAGTATGTTCGCCTAGAAAACTTATTAAAGAAAAAATTTGCGGAAGCTGTTGCTCCTGGACAAGAGGAAATACTTATAGATTTTCTTAACAGTTAAAATGTTAATGAAATAAATAGCCCTCTCCCAATTGAAATTATTCGTGCTCAGAAAGTATATAAGCAAAGTGATTCCATGGGAAAGTTAGTTATCCTCTCATTATTAGACTATACCAAGTATACCAAAAAGTTCATAATGAATACATTTGAGTGTACCAAACATCGTATAGAAACAGCAAAAAAATGGCATGTTGGCATTTTTTTGCTGTTTGGCATTTCCAGAGAAGAAAGTATTCGTCCGATCTAGTTTTGATCAAACAAAGTGTGAACATTTCTTAGACTTTATATTTACAAGCGGTATTTTGCATGATGTTGCTTATGGAATAACCAAATTAAAATACGACAGCGGTGAAGAACAAAAGATAGTGCATGCAATACAGACGACAAAATATAGCCACGCTATCATGTTCTATCAAAAAAGTTGTAGTGAAAACAATTATATACCATTATCTGATTCAAGTTTGTGGAAAGTATTGCATGCAATAAAACCTTCAAGTCGAAAAAGCTTAGCTGGATTAGATGATGTTACTGCTTCAGGCATGAATGGTCTTCAAATATTACAAAAATTGGGACAAAGATTTAGTTCTAAATCTCTCGAAGCTGCCCTTGAAAAAGGTAAAAGGTATTTGAAAACAAGTTATCAAACCAATTGTAGTGTTAATGACTCAAACATTTCTTCTCATAGCTCAAAACATGCCTTATCAGATCCATCTGAAAAAAGTCTTCAATCCAACACAGAGATATCAGAAGTGGTATGTGCCGATTGCTATGATTTGTGCAAAGCTATCGAGATGATCAAAGAACTAATAATTCAAAATTCTGACGATGCTGATTCTATTTATGATTTGGAAATTGCTGTAAAGGATGTATTCAACTACATAAAACACCTGATGAGAGATTCTCATCAGAAAAAGGCAAAAATTGAAGCTTCTAAGCAAATAAACGATGAAACTGCTTTCTGGCTTAAAGATTTTTTTCAAATAATTCTTCCGGTTCGATACAGAGAGGGCCAAAGAGAGTATTTTGGCAAGAAAGGAATGAGTTTACATGTGGATATATTCTTCATAAAAATAGCAGGAAAGTTGTTCAAACGTGTTTACTTTATTTCAATGTATAGGTGTGATCAGGGAATAGGTGATGTTGTTTTGTTAGCTACTGCAGTTTTAGACCAATTCAGAATTGATCAACCGCATATCAAGAAAATGTTTACCAAATCTGATAATGCCGGCTGCTATCAGGGAAATCTTTCAGCTGAAGCAATCTACAATGTATGCAAAGAGAGAGATATAAAGTTGCTGAGATATGATTATAATGAACCCTGTTGTGGAAAAGATCAATGTGACAAGAAGAGTGCAGTTGTAAAGACAATTTTAAGGAGTTACGTTGACTCTGGTAATAATCTTTTGACTGCTGAAGATATACACAAGGCTATGCATTATAGTTTTGGCGCTAAAGATGCAAAAGTAGCAGTTGCTCAAATTAGCCATGATAAAACTGTAGTTACTGGACCAAAGATTAAGAACATTAGCTACTATCACTTATTTGAGTTTGGTGAGAAAAGTATGAAGATGTGGCGTTATTTCAATATTGGTGATGGAATTGAACAAGTGTATGGAAATCTTAAAATTCAACCCTCGATTAAGTTGTTGTTGCCATATAGCAAAACAGATAATTCAATTAAGCGTAACAAGTCACTTAAGGAAAAACAGAAAAAAGGTGACAGGCAATTATATTCATTAAGATTTTGCACTGAAATGAATTGTACTTTATCATTTGAAAGCGATGCTGAGTTAGAAGAACTCATGCAATCCGGTTTTCATACAGTTCCGAAATCATTAACATCATTGGATAAAGTTCGCAACTCGTTTGTTCATAAGATAAAAATTACTTCACAACTAAATATGCCAATTTCTTCATCCTCTAACAGTACTTCCGTAAAAGACAAACCACATTGCATAAACATTTTTCTATAGCAAGGTTGGGCATTACCAGTTCGAAGTTCTTTTAGATTTTTAAATCAGCAGAAAGAACTGTTGTATAAATACTTTATTCGTGGAGAAGAATTAGGTAATAAAATGAGCCCTGAGCAGGTTCACATGCAGCTGAGGAGAGAACTTCCACCTGATCAATATGTAACTAGCCAACAGATAAGATCTTTATTTTCAAGGTAGGCATTGTCGCTATCAAAACTTTTGCAAATTAGATTATGTTTCTGACTGGTAAATAGTTCTTTTACAAATATGAAATTAAAATTTAGGTGAAAGTTATAATTTTGTGTGTTTGTTTACATATGTTTAAAAATATGTACAATTGATATTGTTATAGATTTAGTAATCTAAAAAGAAAAGGTAAGCTGGTAGAACCGACAACAGAAAATAATGAAAATAGTCAGGTTAACGATAACAAAGAAGTTTATAGCGAAAATGATGACTTTAATCTGACAGGAGACAATGAAGATGATAATAAATATGAGGAAGACATCGCCAATCTTGCAAAAGAAATTTGTCTTGTATGGAAAGTGAATGATTGGGTTGCTGTTGCATATGAAAAACAATGGAATATTGGATATATTGTGGAGGTAATATTATTCAAAGTATATATTAGTTTCAAGTTTTTATTTTGTTTTACAAAACAGTGCTCTAAAATAAAAGGAATATAAACAAAATGCAAAAACAATTTCAGAATGACATTATATAAGACTTTACAAGTTTTATTGAATGTAAGCAAAATTAAACAAATCATAAACTCTTTATTATATTATTTTAAATGTTGCGCTAATACTTTTAGGTATCTATAACTGGGATCAGAGTTAATTGTATGATTAACGGGCAAGAGAAGAATACTTTTCGCTGGCCAGTTACTACCGAGGAGATAAATCACCGAACTGATAAAATTATCTGTTTAGTAAATGCTCCTTTTCTAATCAGTGGTTGTGGCGATTATTCATTATCCGAAGAAGACTATAATACAGTCATATCATTATTCTTAGAGAAACTTACTGCAGCAGAGTAGAAATTATGTGTGATGTGGTGAATAATGTGTGTAAATGACTCTATTAATAAATGAAAAACTAATTTTTAAATGGAAAAACATTTAAATGTTTGATTTAGGTTTTATTTAATTAGCAATATAGTTATCTTAATGTTAGATTTTTGTTCAGTTTTTAATTCATGTTATATCATGCGTGTGACAAAATCACACGAATTTTTTTTATTATTATGTTAGGACCTTTTTGTATTGACAGTTGGATATGTTTACATTTTTACAAAACTAAGCGCCTCTGCCGTAATGGTTTATTTTGTAAGTATACTAAAACATTTTTTTCCAATTTCAAGCCTTAATATATTAATAGGCCTTAGGTATCACATAACTTTCTTTGCATTTTTAGACTTAATACCTTTGATAATTTTAAATCCTAAAAGAAAAATTGTGTGCAACACTTCGCCGCTGGAATGAACTCCGATTAAAAATTGACAAAACTGATTGATTTTGTACTTTTGAACTATGATAATTAGCCAACCGCACAGTGTCACGCAACTTTTTTATATTTTTTGGAGAGAGCTTTTGGGCTACGTTTGATATTAACTACAAAAGCTATGTGCAACTTTTTGCCTTGCTAAAAAAATGGGTTCAAAGGTGGCAAAAACTAAATTTCTAAAAATTTTTAAGAAAATCTCAAAAATTTAAGCCTAGATTCCGAGTGAACGAAACATTTTAAAAAATTTTTTTTCCCTTAACAGGTTTTCTCTATATTCTGATCAATATATAAAAAATTCAAGCAATTTGGACGAGGTCACTTCCACAGTTTCAGGAATTTGCCTGATTCTTAGAAAAAATGGCTCTTAAGGAATGTCTTTTGGTTGTTAGTTTCCCTCTGCAAAAAAAACACAATTTTGTGGTGCCTAATGTTGCCTGACTTGCACGATTTAGATGATTTTCGACAGCCGTGAATTCCATGTATTTGCTGGTCTACCCGGTCAACACCACTCATATGCATATTGTATGACTTGACCATTGACGGTTTGAGTATAATGTTAGCATCTTTATAAGATTTAACTGTTTTTAACATCACTGCATTGTGATATGTTGACATTATTTAAATAACTTTTTGTTTGTTATCCGATTTGTCTTTATTTGCACGATATTTATCTTCATTTGCCCAATGTCATTCATGTTTTTGAGTGGTGATAAGAAATAATTTTTACACAAAGAAATAATTTTTACAAAACTGCAAACGTAGTTGGACCAGCTTCTGCAGCCAATTTTGGACTATTATCACATTGTTTTAATTTTAGTTCATTTTTTCTTTCTATAAATGCTATAATGCGAGCTGCTCTAAATAGGTAGCGTTTCTTGTGTCATCGACTAAAGTTCATTTTCATGTTATTCTTTAATTAATTAAGGCTCATCTGTTTCTAAGTGTTCCAAAATTTCGTATTCGTTAAGCTTTTTCCCTCGAACATCAGGTCTTTGCCAATTAATATAAAGAATTTTCTAAGAAAAAGGCGGTTTTATATACAAACTAAACAGTTGCATGCTTAGTTATTTTTTTAAAAACCAAATTTATTTTGTATAGTAGATTATTGTTATTAAAATTATTGAACATTTTATTGCACATATATATATATTTTTTTCTAAAATTATTAAGAAGACAGAAAGGACCTCTGCGTAGTCACTAAAAAATTTAAATATTATTTTAATTCTGTTCTTTTCTATAAAATTAAATTAATTTTGGTAATTGATCAGGAAAAAACTCTTTGAACGATAAATGCTTTAAAAACATTAAATAGAATTACTTTTAGCTGTTTATAACACTCTATAATTATGTTTCCAATAACTTCATCAGCTTCTACTTCTTAATTTTTTTAATGAGATTTGTATGCAATTTCGAAATCTTCATAAAATAAATCAGAAAATAACTCATTAGAACAAATGTAATTATCCATATTAAGAAATTACTAAATAAGGCTATAGTGTTTGGAATCTTTTTATCAATAAAATGACTTCAAACACTATAAAAGATATAATATGAGGAATCAGTAAATAAATCATGAAAAAAACTTTTGTCTGGATTTTTATCTATAAAAAATTTGTATTTTATTACATATTTGTGTGAACTATTTATTACATACTAGCTGGTACAGCCCGTACAATACATGTCGTGTTAAGTATAATCCACACCCGACAATTACTAAACTTATTTCTTAGTCTTTATACTTTAATTTGTTTAGTAAATGGCAACAAATAAATCACTTTAACGTTTTGGTAGATAGTAAAATACGAATTTTAATTGCAATTACAATTAAAGTTTGCATTTTACCACCTACCAGATGGTGAAATGCAAACTCTGAAGAAATTTAAATCGAAATTTATTTGCTCGATAAATTATAATTAATTTAAAAGAAAAGTCTAATTTAAATAAAATATATCGAATACCAATATATTTAATTTAAAAAAGCTGTTTTTAATATCATGACTGTTGTGGTCATTAAAATGTTTTGGTTCGCTAAAAAGTACACAGTTTGCATTTTACTGACTACCTACAGTCCCTGATTTCTAATTTATTGTTCTTTAGAACTAATTAGTATTTTTACTTATTATATTATTAATTATACACTTTAATATTTTCTACATAATAAAAGTACGTTTAGCATTTAACACAGTTGCGTAAAACTTAGGCTATTAGGATTAGTTTAAAAAGCAAATTTGAACAATAAAAAATGAACCTAAGAGACCCAGTTATTGCAAATAAGTTAGCTTTATCTGTTTGATATATTATATAAAAATCTATTCAGTAGTATGGACGTAAAAAAGATGTTTAAAACGTCTTATACCCGTATTTTTTAGGTCCGGTGTCCACTGGGTCTCTGTAAAAAAACTCTTCAATTATTTATATAATTATAAAAAAATTTATATAATTTTTTTTTTTTTTTTTTTTTTTTTTTTTTTTTATTTTGTTTACAACTATTTTCGTCATATTTATAATAAATTATTTACAATATATACATTTTGAGTAAAGATATGACAAAAGTAGGCAGAAGACAAAAGTCTTATCATCCACCCCCTTAGTATCATTTACATATCAAACCAAAAAAAAATAAAAAAAATAAAAAATAAAAATTTACCCATCATATAAGAAAATATATATATATATATATATATATATATATATATATATATATATATATATATATATATATATATATATATATATATATATATATATATATATATATATTCTTATACACACATACACATACATACACGTACACATACATACATTTACATGATTGCGCATTGTTGAAGTGATCGGACGTGTTTTTGCAGCGTGGAATTATTTGTTATTTTGATTCTTTTTATTTTTATTTTTTTTATTTTATTTTTTTTTAACAAACTACTACTAATAATAAATTTTTGATATGGATACTAAAAGTATTGAAGTACTTGTTGCTGGTTTACTTGAGAAACATAAAAATTCCAACTTAGATGAAACAAAAAAACTTTTAAAAAAACAAGAAAAGAGTTTTGCATCTTTAACAGCTGCAAACTTTAAAATGTTCACAGAAATGCTGAATGAATATGAAAAAGATAATATAAATAATCTTCAAAAGATTAGCAAAATTGAAAATGATTTAGAGATAACAACTAAAAAAGTAATCTCTCTTGAGGCTGACTTTACGGAATTAAAGAAATACATAACGACCAGTGATCAAATTGCTACTGAGAAATTCGAGGTAGTAAAAAAGAAAACTAAAGAAATAAATAGTAAATTAAGAGATAAAAGTGAGTTATTAAAGGTAAAAAGCAAACTAAGAGAAATTGAAGATAGATCGAGAAGGAATAACCTGAGAATCGACGGTTTAAAAGAAAATGATAATGAAAGTTGGAGCAATAGTGAAGAAAAAGTGTTGAAGCTATTTGAAGAATCACTTGGACTGAAAGAAATTAAAATTGAAAGGGCTCACAAAACTGGAATCAGAGACGGCAAAAAGTAAGATCTATAGTACTAAAATTACTAAATTATAAAGATAAAGAAAGAATCATAAAAAATTCTTCAAAATTAAAAGGCAAAAACATATATATAAATGAGGATTATTGTGCAGAGACGGTACAAATAAGAAAAGAATTACGGATGGAAATGAAAAAAGGTCGAGAAGGTGGGAAATTCGCGTTTATATCATACGACAAGTTGATAGTACGAGAATGGTCTCCAAAAGAAAAGTAAATATTTTATGTTTCTTCTAGCTTAACGGTACCTTTTATTTTTCCTTTTTTTTATATATATGATTTAGATTGTTATTATATTCTACTTTTTTAAAAATGGATGATAATCTTTTATTAAATTTGAATACTGAGAGTGATGATGACTATTTCAATAAAAAAAACTTTGAAAGTGAGTATTATTCAATCCGTGAAGCTAATCATTTTTTGTGTCAAAAAAATAAAATAAATAGTTTTTCAATTTTAAATTTAAACATTCGAAGTATCAATAAAAGTTTTGATAATCTAAAATTATTATTGCATGATCTAAATCATGATTTTCAAATAATTACTCTCACGGAAACATGGTTGAAAAGCAATGAAAAAAACTATAATTATGAGCTAAGTAATTACGTGTCAGTCCACCAACCGCGTCAAAACCACGTTGTCGGTGGTGGTTTAAGTATCTTTGTTCACAAATCTATTAACTTTGAATTGCGTAACGACTTCAGCGTTAACGAAACAGATTGTCAGTCGTTATGCATTGAAATAAATAATAAAGCGACCAAAAATATAATTATTAGTTCTATTTATAGAAAGCCATCTGGTAATTTAAAAAAGTTTCATACCTATCTAAAAACATTTTTAAGCAAAATTAACATTACAAAGAAACACGTGTACTTAACTGGTGATTATAATTTAAACTTGTTATATCATGCTTCAAATCTAAATGTTCAATGCTTTTTAGATACACTTATACAATACGATATCATTCCCACTATAAATAAGTCGACGAGAATAACTAAGACTTCGTCGACCTTACTAGATAACATATTTACTAATAATTTTCATAATTGCCC